GCCGCCCCCGCCAATCTGCTGCAGTGGCCCGTTGAACTTGCGCTGCAGTCGTGACATTGACTTGAGAGATTCACTCTTGGAGATGCCCACTGCTGCTGAAGAAGAGGCTGAAGCTGAAGAGGCGGCAGAAACGGCCGCCAGAATGTTGTCATTGCTGCTGCTGTTGCCCTGCTTGCTAGGAGCTGAAGAAGCTGTTCCTGCTGCTGATGCTGTCGCGGCGGCCTTTCCAAATTGCGGTTTCCTCGGCGGTGTCGGTGGCCGCTTTTTGGCAACTGTCAAAAGGAATAAAAAGATTAGTATCAAAACCCAAACGAAAACAAAAAGTATCCCTTACCTTTATCACCTGCTGCTGCAATGGCACTCTTCTGCGACTCGAGAGTGTTCAGGTAGATGGGCTCAGCTTTGGTCTCTGTGGTCGGGGCAGAAGACTCCATCACCTCTCCTTCCTCCTCCACTTGGTCCTCACTAGGCTCCTGTTGCTGCTGCTGCTGCTGTACGACAGTCTTTGGCTGCTGTCGCTGAATCTCGCCGTAGGTGCTGTCATTCAGCGTTATCACAGTCACGTATTGCTCATTGGTAGTGCTGCTCGAGGATGCTTCAGCCGCCGTACAGCTGCTGCTGTTGCCATTGGTGGTGACGTTGGTCGTGGTGCTCGCCTCGTCGAAGTGCACCAGGGACGCACTACTGGCACCGACAGCACCACCAGCACTGCTGCCTCCAGCACTGTTGTTCAATGAACCTTTATCTAAGAGAGAGGGAGAGAGAAGCATCATCGATTAGCATCATTTACATTGGCAGTAGCATCAACGGCAGAAATAGCTGCCGCATCCTTATGACTCATTACCGGTCGCTGTGGAATCCCTTCTGTCGGCGTTCGCGGAGCTGGAGCTGGAGGTGATGCCCTTCAGGAAGTTTACGGCAAACTTGGCCTTGCTCAGCTCCAGACTGAGCTCCGCGGCTCGGGCCTGCTGTCGGCGAAGCGCCTCCGCCGCCTCCTCAGTGTTGGCCGGCTCGGTGAAGGGCGGCGCCGGCGAATCAGGGTAGAGGCGGGCGTACTCGCGCTCAAAGCGGGCGTAGGCGCTGCTGAGGAAGACGCTGTTTTGTTGTGGCTGTTGCTGGTGATCGTTAGAAGAAGTTGACGTTGTTTTGATCGCCTTTTGGTCCTCAGTANACTCGCGCTCAAAGCGGGCGTAGGCGCTGCTGAGGAAGACGCTGTTTTGTTGTGGCTGTTGCTGGTGATCGTTAGAAGAAGTTGACGTTGTTTTGATCGCCTTTTGGTCCTCAGTAACGTGGTCAACGTTGTCGTCCACTTCATCCTTGGGCTTGGTGATGCTCCTCCTCGACAGCGAGGGCCTCTTGATGCTCACTGATGATTGCTGGGTGCTTTCTGCTATGTTTCTGCCTGAAGACTGGGCTTGTTGCTGCTGCTGCTGATCAGCCGAAGAGCCGCTCTCAAACTGAGACGCCCTCCTCAGCACGGAATTGCTGGCGAAGTTTTTGGTCATCATTTGAAGAATGTGGTAGTAGTAGTAGCGTAGTGTTGTTGAATACTAATCGTAGTTGAAGAGTAGGAGGAAGTAAAGCTTGGAGCTTGGAAAGTCCAGTACTTTAAAATGTAGGTTGAAATAGATAGGTAGAGGATGTCACTCACACGCACTAGCTCAGTAGAGCAGCAGTGCTATTTTGGCCAGAGTTGAGTGGTGGTGGTGGTGGTGGTAGATGTATCACAATAATAAAAAATCGGTTGGTTAGGGGAGTGAGATGAGAGATGAGATGATGAGAGTTGGATGCTTCTGTGTTTTGGTAGTGGTGGTAGTGGTAATGGTGCTGATAAAATGAGCATCAATGGACACTACTAAACTACTGGAAAATAGAAGATAGATAGATTGGTCTGTTTGGTCTGCTCTGTCCTGTCTTTGGCTTGTCAGCTTGAGGAAGGCGTAACTTCGCCGAGCGAGTTTGGTCCGTGGTTGCCTCCGCTGCCGCCGTCACCAGTGCTGCTCTTGCAACCGTTGAAAGCCATTAAGGAATTAAAGCTGTAAACAAAGGGAGATAGAGAAAAAGAACAGTGAGTGTGAGAAGAGAGGAAAGAGCCATCGATAATTAGCTCGCCCGTTGCCTGGCGTGGACGCCTGCTGATGATAAGCCTATGCTATGCTATGCTATGCTGTGCTGGCGAGAAAGAAAGAAGGAAAGAGCGAGCAATATCAAAACTTTGTCAAGCAGTTCTTTTGCTGCCTTGCCTTGCCTCGCTTGACTCATGCAAGTGGCAGTTGGTGGTGGTGGTTGACAAGTGGTAGCAATACTGTGATGTGATGAGATGCTAACTGAGTGCTCCTGCTCCAGTGCGTCTGACTGACTGGCTAGTTGATCGATTTAAAAGAGAGAGCTCAACACATTCTTCCACCAGTGACATACCTGGGAAAAGTTGGCGAGTGTTTGCTGGTGGTGTTTGGTGTTTGATGTTTGGTGATGGGGCACAACACCCAGCCCGCCCGAAATTCCGGTGAGCTCCCGGCGACTGCTGATGTTTGGGCTTTCTTCAGTTCAGCGTTGGCGACTGTGATGATCCGTCATCTGAATAAGTAGAAGCAGAAGTAGAAGACCGGTGCGGGGATTGCGCTTGCGGAAGGATTCACCACACACCAGTACTCTGTAGTGCAGATACACTCTAGATCTGGCGAGTGACGTGCAACACTTGACTCGGTTTACGGCTCGATGCAGATGCAGCCGTAGCAGAAGAAGAAACAGCAGCAGCAGGCTTATGGGCATCAACAGCTGCTGCTGCTGCTGCTGCCAAGTCGAGGAGAGAGCGCCAGTGAAGAGTAGAGAGGTAGAAAGAGGAGAGGAGAGAGCTTGAAGAGAGCGACTGAAGATCCTCTCTGAGCGAGACCACTCTGTTGCTGGTCTGTCTGAATGTCTGTGTCTGTGTTGGCCTGCAAACAAGCAGGCAAGGCGTCAACGAGCAGAAGAAATTGACGGAGAAGTAGAAGGAGACGAAATAGAAACGTCGGCTGCCTCTGCTGCCTCTGCTCGAGTTGACCAACTTCTCTTCTTTCTTCTTCCTCCTCCTTTTCAAGTGCCGCCGCCGTAGTCCGCCGCCGGTAAAAAGTAGATCACCGCCGCCATAAACAACAACAACAACAACAACAACGAGAGCGGCGATAACAATTGGAGGATTCCTCTTCTTTTTCTTCTTTGCCTTCCACTTGAAGAAGACAATAAGAGGACGGGGCTCGGTGACAAAGAAGCCGGCGTTGGTGTTGGCGTCGGTGTCGGTGGCGGCTGGTGAACTGCCGTGTTAATGAGAAGCAAATTAAAGCAGCGAGGCAATGAGGCAATGAGGCGTGATGAAATGAGCAGCAGCGGTGATGCTCGTACGCAACAAAAACAGTAGTGGTAGAGTGCCGGTGACAGCTGATTGACTCGGTGGCGAAAGAGAGAAAAGGGTTCAATTGCTGGTGGTGATGGACTCACCTCGGCGTTGAAACAAAAGTAGAACTTGCCACAAAGACAGCAACAGCTTTGACGTTGCTTTGGTGCCTTGTTGCTGTCTGCGGCCTTGGAAAAGAGTGGGAAAACAGAAACCGGAAAGGTTTCCGGGAAATCGAACCGATGCTGACCGGGAAGACTGCCGGCGCTGGCGTGAAGCCTGATCACAACAATCGCTGCAAAACAGTGAGAGATTGAGAGTTTTCAGGACGACCTTTGACGTCCCATCTTCTTTTTTCACCTAGACTAGTCACTTCAATACTTAAGGTGATCAGTAGCATTAAGTGTTCTTCTTCTTCGTCGAGATGACCACCGACAGCCACCAAAAGCAGCAGCATTTCCTTTTCGGCCACGGTTGTCTGCTGGACGATGGCCTGCCGACGCTCACCAGCCGGGACCAGGTAAGATGCTCTACTGTACTTCATATGAAACCTCGTTTCTAACTTCTTTTACAGAAAAGAGTGGAGCGATCGGTGGCCGAGATCTTCGCCAGCGCCGCCGAGGCTGAAGGAGGTGACGAGGCCGCACAGAGGCGGCGGCTGCTGTGAGTTGAAAGATGATCCAGTACTCCTAAAAAGTGATCACCCTCCTCAAATTTTTCTTGTAGAACCCTGCTCCGCGAAGAGCACTGCCGCTACCTGAAGGAGAGCCTCTTCGGCGGTCTGAGCGACGCCTTCACCGCCCTCGACTGCTCCCGTCCCTGGATGGTCTACTGGATCGCCCACTCGCTGGCACTTCTCGGCGAGCGGAAGTTTTTAGGTTCGAAATTAGAGCTACCAATTCCTCCAATTTCTAAACCAAATCCTCCTCCTCTTCCTCTTCTTCTTCTTAGTCGAACACGAAGCGCCGATCGTCGACTTTCTGGGGCGGTGCCGCTCCACCCGGGAGGGCGGCTACAGCGGCAGCCCCCA